TTTGATCACATGTACCCCCTATTATCCCCTGTACCCCTCTGACTCCTTCTGAACCCCTTCTGTTTCTGTATGCCCAAGACCTGTTCCTCTGAACTTTGTGTTTATTGACAGTGTAAATAATGATGCTGATAAAGCAAAACCAGCATCCAGCTCATGTAACTTTCTGGTAGTCACAAAAATGATGCCTCAACAAAAAGTGACGAGCAAATGTGCCCACAACTGAATAACTCTATGATTCTACAAATGGTTTCTTGTGACATAATAAACCACAAAACCAAGTTTGTGTCACTAGAATTTCAGAATGGAATTACTTTTTTAATAGACTTATAATTTGGGGATATTTTACCGCATAATTTTACAAAAATCAAAAAACAGCATTTTTTCTTTGACTGTTCTTTATACTAATTTCAAGAAGTTCCCAAGGAAAGATGCTTTTTCATAACATGTATTCCAAACATTAGTTCCTTATTACTTGTTTGCCTGGAGTTTATCACAGTATTTTTCATAATAATAATGGGTAAAATCTTCTCTTAGTATAACATGAATTTTTAAGGTAGGTGGTGGCACTGAAGCAAAATCCTTACTTTCCTCTTCTCTCCATTTTACAATCAGAAGTTCCCAAGGAAAGATGCTTTTTCATAACATGTATTCCAAACATTAGTTCCTTATTACTTGTTTGCCTGGAGTTTATCACAGTATTTTTCATAATAATAATGGGTAAAATCTTCTCTTAGTATAACATGAATTTTTAAGGTAGGTGGTGGCACTGAAGCAAAATCCTTACTTTCCTCTTCTCTCCATTTTACAATCCAGCTTTAATAGCATTTTCTACTTTCTCTTCAGTTTTTTGACACTGAATGGGCACTGTTTAGTCATATCTGACCATGAGCACTGAGTATCACCGCAGTGTCTATTCTATGTGAAATAGCTCTGGGCAGTTACATAGCTATTGAAAATGACTTACTGGAAAGGTAATTCTACAGTAACATCATCATACAAAGGACTAAGGGACAGATGTGTGTCTCATCAGTCACACACACACACACACACACATGTTAACCATGTAAAATACTGGATATGTTAATGAGTTTGATTTTTGGTAATCATTTTACAATGTATACATATATCAAAATATCACAATCACATAAATTGTCAATTATACACATACTCAATAAAGCTAAGGAACAGAAAGCAAATAAATAAAAATGGCAAATAGTAAAATATAGATTCTATAACAGTGTGATGAGTGAGGATAGAAAATTAGTGAGCTTGTCTCTTTAGTGTGTGTGCATACATGCGCATGTGTGTGTTCTCTGTGTGTATACATGTGTGCCTGTGTGCAGTGTATGTGTGTGTGTGTGTGTGTGTTGCTAGGCATCGAACCCAAGGCCTCATGCACCCTAGGCAAGTATGCTTATAGCACTAAGCTGCAGTCCCAGCACTATTTTTTTTAATTGACAAGTTTTTAAGACCTGTGATTTAGTAAAATTCAAATCCCTTCTAAATTTGTTGGTGACATAAAGTGTATATTTGATCATGGGCAGCAGCATAGAATATGCATTTAATTTGATGCTCTTATATGGCCTACAGTCGGATAATGTCTTTGGCTTTCTCAGCTGGACCAGTGAAGTATGTTCTTTTTCTTTACATGAAGTCAAGTATTGTCAATGAAAGGGAATAAGCATTTATACACAAATATTAGAGTTTATTTCTTGAATTCCCGATTGCTAAGAAGCACAGAAATAATCCTCTGTACTTTTCTCAATAACCACTGGAAAGAATAATAAGAAATCAGCGTATTCTCTTTCTCAGGGAAAAGCGCCTGGTTAGAACTTAGCCCAAACACACACTGCAAAGTGCATCCTGGTTATGAAACTTGTAAAGATCTGGTCTTTCTCCCATGTTTGTTTTGTAATGTGACTGGCAGTTCTGGCTGAGGTAAGCCATGTGTGGTATACTGTTGTGATTCTTTATCTCTTCAAAATAGTCTTAGATTTGAGTCATCCAAGGTTTGAATGGGTCAAAGATATAATTAGGGAGCTAAGACTCACACCTTTAAATCCCAGCTCTTAAGAGTCTGAGGCAGGAGGATAGTGGGTGCTAGGCCAGCCTGGCTGCATAGAGAGGCTGTGTCTCAAAAGTGCACATATAGGGGCTGGAGACATGGCTCAGTGATTAAGAGCACTGGCTGCTCCAGCAGAGGACCAGGTTCAGTTCCCAGCACCCACATGGATGCTAACAGCCAGCTGTAACTCCAGTTTGAAGAGATATGATGCCCTCTCCTGGCCTTTGTGGGTATTGCATGACACAGGTACATATACATGCAAGCAGAACACTCACACATAAAATAAACATTAATTAATTAAAATCATACATACATGACTGGAGAGATAACACAGTCCATAAAGCACTTTTGCACAAGAGTAAGGATCTGAGTTTGATCCCCAGAACCAGCCTGTTTTGTTTTTTTTTTTTAAGTCAGGCATGGTGGTACACTTAGAATCCTAGCACTGAGGAGGCAGAAACATGTGGGTCCCTGGGGCATGCTAGCCAGCCAGCCTAGCCTACTTGGCAAGCCCCAGAACAATGAGAGATCCCATCTCAAAAGACAAAGTAGAGTGTTCCTGAAGAATGACTCCCCAGATTGGCCTCTGACCTCTATACACATGTACATACATGTGCATGTACACATTGTACACATGCACGTTCACTCGCAAAGGTGTCTGTATACATATTTAACTCAAGAATGCTTTATATAATAGCCATACTAACCCTCAGGGTTCTGCTTATTCCTTTCAACATACATTTTGATGCGTTCATTTTCTGAATGTGCCTCCTGTGCTGGACTTTGTGCTATGGGAACACAAGCAGGAAAACTTGTCTGTGCTCAGGTAGGTCTAAGAGCAAGGTTTGTGCTTGAGCAAACACAGCACGCAGCACACAATAGGGTTCTGTGAGGAGGAAGCATCGGGACTGTTCTAGTTACTTTCTATTACTGTGATAGAAGCACTGACCAAAACCAACTTGGGGAAGAAAAGGTTTGTTTCACTTTCAGCTTTCAGCTCATCACGGAGGGAAGACAGGGCAGGAACTGAAGCACAGACCATGGAGGATCGCTGCTTTCTGGCTTGCTCCCCCAGCCCATACTCAGCCTGCTTTCTTATATAACATAGGACCACCTGCCTAGGGGTGGCACTGCTCCCTGTGGACTGGGTCCTCCCACATCACTCAACAATCAAGAAAATGCCCCACAGGCATGGCCACAGGTCAGTCTAACCAAGGAAATTCTTAACTGAGGTTCCCTCTACCCAGGTGTATCAAGATGACAACTGAAGCTTCTAGCACAAGGATAAATGAAATTTGGCCTAGACCACTGTTCTTCTTTCCAAAGACAGTCAAATAAAATATAAACAATTGAAAATAAGTTTTTCTGTCTTCTGTTACATGTTTCCAGTTACTGCTCTTTCTCCGTCAGTTGCCCTGGCTATTATTTTGGCTTCCTCTTGCTTTTTTCTTCCTCTTCACTTGTTTGGGTGATGTCTTTACCAAGATGCATTTCTTTTATGTTCTTGAATCTCCTGTGCAGTTTCCTCATTATCATGCTGGGGGAGAGCTTTTGACACAACTCCCCATCACCTGTCAGTGCACATATGGAAGTAGTTTTGAAATGGCATCCTCATTTAGAAAGTAGCGTGTCTGTGTGTACTAAGGTACAACAAGCCCTGGTGGTACTACACATTGCCCAGCTGAATAAAGTGACTTCAAACATTAGGTGTCCTTTGCATAGAATGTTATGATAGTCTTGTTGGTCTGACGTCAGAATCAGGAACTAAAGGGAAGTCCTCCCAAAGCTATCATTATTAGAATTTAAAGCTGCATTTTGGAGTCACACTTTTTAAGATTTGGCTTTGCTTTCTTTATTTCTAACCAGTTTACACTGGCCTTGTTTATGAGTGCCTAATTTTATCTCCTAAACTGAGGTAAGTCAGTGTCACCTACAATTTTCAGAGTAAAATTGATTTGCCTTTTAGGACCAATGACTCATAAGCAACATTCTTTAAATTGTATAGGCTTTGATTGTGTCATGTATCACCCTTGACTGTGTGTGTGTGTGTGTGTGTGAGAGAGAGAGAGAGAGAGAGAGAGAGAGAGAGAGAGAGAGACAGAGACAGAGACAGAGACAGAGAGAGACTTGTCAGGATTAACAAATATTCTCAAAAAGCTTTTTATTTGTTTCAGTGCTAGCACATCAAATATTGCCAGGATAGAAGAAATGGAGAGACTCTTAAAACAGGCACATGCAGAAAAGACCCGGCTGCTTGAATCCAGGGTAAGCTAGAGTTTGTGGCAGGGGTCTCTAATGGGGCATTTGTGCAGAGAGCCCTACACTTGAAATCAGGAAGTGGGCTTCTTCTAGAACTTTTCTAGGTGCTGTGACCTTGGGGAAGCCACTCGGCCTTTCTTGGCCTCCTTTCCTATATGAGAAGTAAAGGTGTTAGAGAGACGATTTCCATCGCCCTGTGCACTGCTGTGTTCTACAACTTGACATGTGTGTCTAACACGGACTGAAATGGACACATTCTATTCCATTTCCCCTTCAATAGCTGCTTTGATTTTTGCTAAGGAAGAATGACATTGCTTCAACTCGGGCTAACTGAACTACTGTTATATTAAAAAAACAAACAAAACAAACCCCATGGTATTTGACTTTCGGTCCAAAATCAGAACTTCCTTAAGAATCCCCCCAAATGCCTTTGCATCCTGCCCTGAGGGCACCTCCTTTCCTTTTCCAACTTCCTCACGAGCTTCCAGTCAGGAAGCTTCAGAGCAATAACAGGAATTGGAGGGAACTATGGCCTTCAGTTAGGAGATGGCCTCCCAGAGAAAGTCCAAGCTGCGTGGTGAGTGTTGCATGACAGCTTGGTAAGGTCTTTTATTTTAAAAAGAGGAAGACCTGTGGTCATTAACACAAATGCCTGATGTAGTCAAAAGTCGGATTTTCACTTGATTCGTATTTAATTGTTATTAATTAATTCCATGAGGCGAGTCTAATAGCTATGCAGAGGCGGTCGTGGTTTGTGTTAGTCCCGGTTATATGTTTTAAGAGACTAGAATACAAGCTGAAAATTGTCTAGTGAGAACTGGGGTTTTGGTATATTACTTAGAACCATTCAAGTTTAACCAGCATATTTTAAAATAAGTATTGGTCTGTGTTAGGAACGGGAAATGGAAGCCAAAAAACGAGCTCTGGAAGAAGAAAAACGGCCCCGAGAAGTTCTGGAGAAACGACTGCAAGAAGAAACCAGCCAGAGGCAGAAGTTAATAGAAAAAGAAGTGAAGATAAGGGAGAAACAGAGGGCACAGGTTTGTGGGTCAATGCGGACGCTTAGGCATAGGTTGCCCCCTGGTGGCCATTCTGTAGAAGACAGTAATTCTCTCGTGGGTGGGCTCAATGCCTGTGTCTCGGAACTTCCAGGGAACTAGTAACCAAGTGACACTTTCTCTGGTCTCATGGGACTTGCTGGTGGGTGAGACACTTCACTTTTTCTACCTATTCTCTAGGTACATTTAAAAATCTTTTTATGTGTATGAATGTTTTGCCTGCATGTATGTTAGTGCACCCACAGAAGCTAGAAGAGGGCATTGGGCGTTGGATCCCCTCGAACTGGAGTTAAAGAGTTGTGAGTTGCCTGCCATGTGGATGCTGGGAACTGAACCCGGGTCCTTTACAAGAGCAGCCAGTGCTCTTAACCCCTGAGCCATCTCTCCAGCCCCTAAAGGAGAATATTTTTTGGACAACTTTGGAAAAGTTCCGCTGAAGTGGCCTCTGTAAAGCACAACATTCAAACCAAAACCTTTAGTTGAAGAAAGAAAAGATTTTGTTAAGCCGTCTTTAGCAGCAAACTGGACAGAACAGGATAAAATTATAGCAGCCCAACTTCTTGGTGGTAGAGGTAGTATTTTTCTTCTTTTTCTAACAACTATATTGTCACACATGCCCCCTTTCCTACACCAGTCTGTTACCAAACTCAAGGCAAATTCAGGAAAACCACCCATTTCATTTAACTTCCTATCTCAGTTGTCATAGATTTGAAATCTCTGTTCCTATCACTGTAGCTGCTTACATAATGTATATTTTCAGAGAATAAAATAAAAAAATTGTAAACTACAACATTATGTAAAGTTCAAGTCAGTTTCATCACCATTGTCCATTTATCTAGTAGATCCAGAAGTAATAGGTCTCCTTTCCCTCATCCTGTCTAGTTGCTGGCCATTTGATTGTACAGCCATTGGGGACTATTTTTTAAAGCCTTGTGTGTTTTGAGGTCATGGGAAGCCTGTGGCATCTCTCTTATGGTCAAGTACCACAGAATCAAAAGTAAAATACTGAGGAAAAACTGTTCCTTTCATTTGATTATGCCCAACTTCTGCCCAACTCTGAATTCTATTTTAGTCTTGATTATAAGGTTTTCCTTCAAGTATACGATTACATTTCCCTGAGGAAAAAGCATGGAATTATTTAACAGAATAAAAATAAAACAGCATTTTAGAAGCAGTGTGCATACTAATCTGTGTCTCCTGGATAATGTGAACTTTGGCCCTCATCATCAGTAAAACAAGTCATCTAAGCACATCCCTCTGACCTCTGGTCCTGCACAGCCCACCACATTAGGTTCATCTTTCTTTCTATACTTAACTTTATTTTAGCTTCACTTTTCAAAGTATTCATCTCTGCTTTGAATATATAAGCTGACGTTTATATTTTTGGAGGATCTTTGGGGGGTGTTATACCTACCAAACAGTGTCTGATCAATTAGGCAGTGTCTGGGGTTATGGATGGAGAACTGTTGTGAGGTTGTGTTGGGGAGGAGAGGAAGCTTCCCAGGGGAAGAATTCTGTTCCACAAAGATCAGTGGGATTAGGAGCACAATGAGAACCCCCTAGAGACAATGCAGGACATGGAACTCAAAAGAACAATGATGAATATGATAAAAGAATTCAGTGAATTTAAAGAACACACAAACAAGGTAATCATAGAGCTGAAGGAAGATAGGGATAAACTTCTGAATGAATTCAGAAAAGAGCTAGAAATATTGAAGAATACTCAGGCTGAAATAAAAAACGAAGTGAAACACTCCATAAGCCAATTAGAAACGACAGGAGAAAGCCTCACCAAAAGGATGAACGAAATGGAAAACAGAGGATCAAGACTGGAAGATAAAGTGGACGAACTGGACCACTCAAGCAAAGATTATGAAAAATTTAAGAAATCACAAGAATGGAATA